AGTCGTATTGAAATACCGAAATAATACCGAAATTTCTCTAATACACTTAAAAAAATCTAAGGTCTACATATATAGCGTTCTTCGAGGCATTTATCTTTCTTCTTTGACATTATTTTGATAAGTGCATTAATAACGAAATTATTTCCTGAAACAATTGCGTGGATCACTCTGTGTAAGTAAAATTTTCTTTATTCAGATCCCACGACAAGAATTACTATCCTAGCGATTTACTGCTGTACCATAATTGATCTTTTTGGTATCCTTATTGTTAGACGTCGAAATTAAAAGAGAAATCTGTTCTTACCGCTGCAGTAATATGTTCTCTCATGCACGCCAACGGGTTTTCCATTTATAATTAAATAGATTTATAAATAACGATCAATTTAATCCGTCGCTTTCTTCGCTCCAGAGTTGATTGCAACGGCTCGAAACAGCAACCCGCGGCATAGAGATCGAAGAATATTAGTACAAACAATGTCACGCGCCACGAAGCTCGCAACGATGTACTAAACACTTGCCACGATACACGCGTGTTATTACTAATTGCAGAATTAACGAGGACCCTTGCGATGGTGCCCGTACGCTAACACATATTTCGATCGTTGCCGTACGTGTTACAAATCGCAGCAATTTGTGGGAGCGTGATCGACGCATAAAGAAAGGGAAATGCAGAAAGAGCAAGAAAATTGGTAACGAACGCGATTTCTCGAGCCAGACCCGACTGGATTGCAGCGTAGGAAACCTGCTTTGCATAACGACGCGTGTAAAATATGTATCTGTCACTGACCTTTACACGAAAGTAGAGCGATAGGTTCATATTTAAGGACGAACGTCTGTTTCGCTTTCCGCTAGCCAATATGCGATCCTCGCGAATCTTCGAATGCAAACTAAATTTCCATTATTTACGGTTCTTTGCGAACAAAACGAGTCTACCGACATTGACAAATGCGGCATTGATAAATGCATTAATTGACGGACAAAAAAAGTTTTCCATTGTAAGTACAGAAAATTCTCCACAATTCGCGCTCAGCTTGCGCGCAAGAATGGACAATTTGGGAAGAGGAGATACGATTGTTCGAGCCTTGCGGCTCGTTTTTATAGTCGTTGACAATCGGTTACTATTTTTTATCGGTCCAGTTTTGTGTACAATCTGAGCGCGGATTAGAGAGAATTTACTGTATATTTATGAGCATTAGATATGGGATACTGGAAACCTCGAAATCCCTCGAAATTTCATGCTATTTTTGCGATTCGAAACTCTCGAGATACAGGTAAATAATAGTTTGCATAAACAACTCACGAGACTATTGTGACGTTACGAATTTATTTTTATTTAACTAGCAATGATCCCGTTGAGTTTGCGTTCAGATCCTAGACGCGTTTTAATTGGTACCATTTCATCGATCCATTATAATCGTTTATACCGAGAGAAAATAAAATTATAACTACATACATGTAATTTTCATTCAATTACATTGAACAAATAATTTGATTTTCTGAACAGAATTTTTATCAAGAATTTAGCTGCTGACAAAATACGTAGATACTACTTAGAATATCGAAAGAAAAACGATAAACATTTCGGGTTTCGATAGTTTCGATAGTTAACACGTTTAGGCTTGTTAAGATAGACATACGATAGGTAGTCGTAGGGCAGGTTTCACCTAAGTGAAACAAGGCGTAGGAACATGTGTTGAACTCGTACAAGGAGTATCGAAGGGAAAACTAGGGCGTTATATGGTTGGGCTCGTGAACATTTTTGGTGCGACGGTGAATGAAACCTAGTAATTTATAAGCTAAACTAATAATATTACCCAGCATTAATATATTGATTATTGCTAATAGTATTAATATGTTCAGTATTACTAATATTACTAATATATTGGATACTACTAATACGTTAAACATTACTAGTATGTTGAATATTACTAATATTATTAATATGTTGGATATCACTAATATTACTAATATGTTGAGTATTACTAATGTTACTAATATGCTGACTATTGCTAATATTACTAATATGTTGAGTATTACTAATATTACTAACGTGTTGAATACTACCAATATTACTAATATGATGAGTATTACCAAAATTACTAATATGATGAGTATTGCTAATATCACTGATATATTGGGTACTATTAATATCACTAATATATTAAGTATTTCTAATATTACTAATATGTTGAATATTGCCAATATTACTAATATGATGAGTATTACCAATATTACTAATATGTTGAGTATTGCTAATAGTACTAACATGTTGACTGCCAATATTACTAATATGATGACTATTACTAATATCGCTAATATATTGAGTATTAATATGTCGAATATAACCAACACTACAAATATTATGTTTGAAGTAGGTCACAAGGCAAAGCGTCTTCATTAACGACAAGAAAGACTAACGAACCGTATTCACCACCGGTTCGATCGTCTTTTATCCTCGTTAGCGTCGATACCTCTGCGAATTGGTTTATTCGAACTCGTCCTTAAACTCCTGCGAAGCCCGCGAGACGGGAGATTACCATCGCGAAGCCGATTAATTTGAATGTTTGATTACTTTACCGCAATCAGCCGCGTATCGCGACCGCTACATTCGTTAAAACCGATCGACTCGACTGTTTTGCTTGAATCGTCGCGTCTCGCCGCTTCGTTAAACGTCCCAGAATTATATCGGCGGCCGCGTATAATTGTCGGTCGTCGTTAGATCTCGGCCGGAGATAAACGAGATCTGTCGCGCGACTTTTCGTGGGTTACGCGAACCGGATTAGCAGGCGAATGCGATGCGAAACGCTCGAGCGATTCGCCGATTGGAATGCAGAGCAAAACATTCTCTCCGGCGTTCTCTTTCTCTGTCTTTAATGCGGTTGACAGACTTTTTCGCGAGATGACGAATAACGCGCGAGCCCGTGTATACAAAACGGAACCATCGATGTGTCCCGCGAAACATTCGGTTCTTCGCGCTGCGTCGATCGATGACATTTGAGCCGTTTATTTTGAGAGTGGCACAAGTCACTTTACCGTAATGAAAAGTGGTGATTTTTTAATGTTTATACGAAATTATTTATACCGAGAAAACTATCAGTATCCTGAGATAACAAATACAAGTAAATCTTCTCGAAAGTTAGCATCCATATTTTGAAACGTGTTAAAACGCGAACCCTTAAATTTATCGACTTAAAAATAAAGTGACTTATGCCACTTTCAAAATAAACGGCTCATATAAATTCGGTCCCGCGACCGATAATCTTTCGCTCGCCGCAGCGCCGTCGTATTATTTCATAATGGTTCGCGTTGAATCGATGAGCTAACCCGGTTAATTATTCTGGGACTGACTTTGCTGGCACCGCAAGTCATTATGTCGCGACGTTTTAATATTTTATATAAAACGAAATCTGCGAACGCCAGATTAAGTGTAGTTTTCGCGTTGAGGAAGGAAAATGTCGACCGTCGCGTCATCTATGTACGGCGAACTATTTTCCCAAATTCGAAAGTTAATTTCCACGCTAATCTATTACATCTTCCCAATTTCGCTAGAATTTGTTTAGAAACCGAAAAACGTACGAATGTTGAAATCACAGTTGATGTAACACTTTGCGTTTCAATTTCATTGCGAACTGCATTAACGGCGGCCATTTTATGTTGCTTCGTAAAAACCAGTATTGGGCATCGATCGATTAAAAGTTTTGAAGATCGAATGATTGATGAAAACGATTACAAGGATTAATCGTCGTTAAGTCGACGATTGAATCAGTCGATTGATGAACGTAATCGTCAGTCGTTAATTAAAGGCATTAATCATTGAAAAATCGGCGATCGAATGAATCGTTTGACGAAATTAATCGTCGATCATCGATTGAAAGAAAACATTAATTGTTGATTTCATAATCGAATTCGACGGTTATCTTGATTCAATTCCGTTAAGAACTGTCTTTATTAGCGATAGTTAATTAAAAAGGTGTCAAAATGATACGTTCCGTGAATCCACTGCTAATTCGATTAAACGAAATGTTCGAATTTGATGACATTTTCGAGATTGTTAGCGTGGCAGTCGAAGTGACAAACCGATCGGCGATTTTCAACGTGAAAGTATTCGCGGGAACGCGTTCTAATATCAATCACCGATTCTAACGAGACTTTGCTACAATCTAGTTTCCGCAGAAGTGTTTTACATTTATCATTTCCAGCTTGTCATCGCGGTGGAGGTCTGCGAACGTAACCGAGCACTTTTGCTTTGCGTATTTTGTTTCTTATTGTGAAATCGGTAGAATTATCGCGGAAAGCAGAATGAATTTCTAAATTACGAAAGAAGTACGGCGGGGTATCCTATAACGAACTAAATCGTTCTAGAATCTTTTTCGTTACAGCACCCGATCGTAATAGGTTACATTGATTAATATTGATATATGTATACAGGGCGTTTCCTTAACTTTTGCCCACATTTTTTCGTGCACTTCTCTTAATCTGTCAAAAATATGTTTCGAACCAATGTTTGAACAAACATTTGCTCGTAGCATTTTTCTGTCAGATTAACAAAAGTGCTCAAAATATGTGGGCACAAGTTAAGGAAACAACTTATATATATATACATATAATATAATATAAAATTTTGATTGTATTCCTTCATCATTCTTATTGATCTTAAAAAATGTTTTTCATTCAAGGACAGAGATATATACACATATACAATGTATATATAATACCAAATATTAACACCAAATATACAGCACAGTTATTACTGAATACAGCGATTATATAAAAACGTGCATATTTAAATTTTATACACTAGGCATATGTGTGTATTTGTAAAGAAGAAATTTGAAGAATTTCGAAACGATAAAGAAAACGAAGGAAGTCATAAATTCTATTTTTATTGTATTTTCTCGAATTCGTTGTAGCATCTTGATTTAACGAGAATATCTGTTCGATGTAGGTTACCTCTCTGTACAGTGTGTTTCGAAAGAAAAAGGTGCACAGTATGTACTCACCGCCGATTACGATAAAGTCGTAGACAGGTTCTGGCGGATGGACAGGCCTGACCCGTTCGCACAGTTGGGAGATCTGATCTTTGCTGCGGATGAACGTGTCCAGGAGGGTCATGAAAGTCAGAAACTGCGGGCCGGGGCAGGAGTTGGCGAGACTAGGCCCGAGGTACGGGTTCGGGCACGTCGGTGCGGCGGTGACGTTGTACAGCGACGTTGACATCCTGTGACCGAGAAAACAGCAATTATTCGGCGCTGTCGTTCGCGGTGTCGGCGATCGAATAACGCGAGGCTTAATTGGCCCGATCCGTGCCGAGACAACGCGTCACGCGAGCTCGCCGCGGCACGTTTTCCCAATCTAGCTGGCCGAAAGTTTAAAAGGCGGCCGTCGCGTGAAATGTACTTTTGATTGCAGTTTTCTTCCGTTTACCTTCAAACACGTCGAAACACATTTAGCGGTCGAATGGTGGGAGTCGTTTTGACCCGAAGTTACCCACCTGCCGTCTACAGTCTACTTTTCCAACAGCCGGATCAAATTATTAGCTGTTTCTGTCGGGTCCCGGCGAAAGATCAATGGTGATCTCAATAAAAAAGAAAAAAAAATACAGTTGCGGTCGAATGCATACAGTGCTGCGAGATAGTATTGGCACGCCTTTTAAAACTGAATAACCTCTTTTCAATTGGGCCAAACGACTTGAATTTTTTTGCGATGTTAGCCCGACTAGTTCGGGCGATTTCTATTGGTTGGGGCCCTAAGAGCATCTGTTTTATATTGCCTCGTAAGCAGCGTACATTTGTTGCAACAATTATAAGAAATAGGAGCTAAATAAAAATTTATTTCGTTTCTGTAACGTTTTAATAAATTGAAAATAATATGGTAACGATCTTAAATTTCTCTACTATTTGTACTACTTTTCGTTTCATTCGTTCATTTTTATCATAAATGCATAAAATCCGTGGTCTAGTTATACATGTACAGAGAAACAAATTTATTGAATGAATTTTCCATAATTGTTTTTAACTTTTGTTTGCCGTTCCACTCGATTGTAATTCTTGCAAACATTCGTCTATGAATTGTCTATCAAACTAACCCTTCTATCATCTAAAACAAAACCTCGAACCGTTGGATCCTATTTCAGAAAAGTCGTACCGATTTGAAAGGTGTCCACAGACATTTGTCCACGACTGTAGATTGAGAAATGTGTAAAAGAAATTGATGCTTAGGAATTCGAATGGCTGCGGCGGCGAGGGTTGATCGCGCGAATTTTTCACAATGCGGAGCAACGTCTCGAAGTGACATATATCGGCCAATGGACGGCTGGATCGGGCAAATTGGCCGCAGGGTAGTGGCCGTGGGGGAAAAGCGAGACCATGGGGAGCATTATGGAGCCGTAAGACGCGGGCAAAGATCCGCTAACGACTCGCGAATCGACAGATCGACGGATCATTTCCCCGGTGGCGATCGCTTAGCGAACAAATCGTGCCCGTACAAATCTATTCGCGTTTCGTTCGGTCTCCGGTTTTTGTCGGCCGTTAATGTCCATATCCGGTGCTGGCCGATCCAAGTCAGGGCCGTATTGAAGTCGACTGGATCGCATGCATACACACACACACACACAAATCCACGATCCTTACTCTAACTTTCTCGCGGAAAAAAGGAACAGCTCGCGCGTTCCCGATCTTTGATTTCCGAGGCTCGTCGGGCACGCGCAACACCGTCGATTCTAATTTTCATCCGCGTTCCGCTCCCCTCGGCCCGCGCCGGCAGTTTTACGTAAACCAGTGCCGCATTAAAATCACACCGAAATAAATATTCGCATTAATTAGGAAGCCGAGCGAATTAATGCGCATCCAACTAACCGGCCGTGTTAATTAATTTACCTCTAATTAACGTGGCCGCTTTTCCCGTGCCGGGCGGCGCGGCGTGCGAGAGCGCGTGCGCCCGCGCTCTCTCTCTCTCTCTCTCTCTCTCTCTCTCTCTCTCTCGCGAGCCGCGCGAATTAATATTTGAAGGAACAAGCCTGGAAAAAGTGTGTGCTCGCGCGGCCGCCGAGAACGTTAATTATGAACTCGCGTTTCGCGTTTTCGTTGGCGACGCGAGGCAACGGGACGACGCGGCGCCGACAGTTTGAAAATCCAACGATCGCTTTATCATCCCCGGGCTCGGGCTGTGCCGGCAGTCGAAGCGCGACGTTAATCACGATTTAGTAATATTTCATTGTTTGCCGTTCTCGGAGAGCGCCGCGCCGCACCGCACGCGGACCGACCGCAAGGATTCCACGGGCGCGCTTTTCACGGACCTCGCATCGCGAAAAAAATGTTGCGAATTTCGGGACCGGAACCGCTTTGTTTCGAATTCCGATCGTTGACGGACAAACAGGCTGCGATGGAGCATTGTTTCCCGACCTTTTAGAGATTTCAGCGACCCCCGCCTCTGCCCACGCCCTCTCGCCCTCGTTCCACTCTGCCACGGTTTCGTCCAAAATGATTTTTCATCGAAAACATAAAGCCGCGTTCGCCGTTCCGATAGTTCCACGGCGGAACCTCGATTAACCGGCTTCATCGGGACCCGAGCAGCACGGATAATCGAGGTTCACTACTTATCTATGGCTGCGTAGGATTACGGTGCTCCTCGGAACACGTTATACTTGTTCCAATAGAATCCGAACCCGATAACCGATATTCGAAAGATGTCAGAACACAATGACGGAGGCCTGTAAAACTTTATGGGCACTTAACACTAAAACTACCGCACCGGTTAAAATGACCGACTGCACGTTTCTCGTTTGAAAATTGCTGAATTACGGACATTTCTCCGCGGGAATTGATTGATATTTCTTAATGCTTGCGTATATTGTAATCAGAATGGCACAGAGTCTAGGTGAATTCAGTGTTATCGTTTTTATTATTATTTGTTATCAATTATCAACGCATGTCAGTCATTTTTAATGCTCAAACTGTACCGGTCAAAATGATCGGTTTCACATTGTTTAGTGAAACAGTTTGAGTGTTGACATTCTGAAGACCCTTCCACAGGAAAAGAAATTTAATAAATTTTGTAGTTCTGGCATGCATTATAGAAAAATGTCGAAAAGTTTAAATAACTTTAGTATTGTTGTTATTGAAGCAACACACGTCTATTATTTTTTTTAGTGCTTGGTAAGTTTAGGGTTAAACGTATCTAAGTGCTTGAGGCGATTTGAATACCTGTCCCCTGACAATTATTTTAGGTATTTTTGTTTTGATTCGAAATCTGATATATCGCTAATTTGATCGCATGATGCAGCAGACAGTCGTGTCGGGGACAGCAGCGGAGAAGCTTGTGACCTATATCTTGTTTTCGATTAGAATGCTACATCGTCGGTGTTCGTCGATTATCGGAGTTGTGACTTGAAACTTCGCGACTGTGTGTTACCAACGATCGACTCCGAACTGTTCTTAATACTTGATCTGATCCAAATGTGTTGTTACCAGACTGCGGTTCTTTATGCAATATAAAAATTTTGACGATTGTGAAGAACAGAAATTAAATATAAATAAATCGTTTCTTTTTTGACCACGGCAGTAAACTGAATATAGTGTAACTATATTAATAAATCATTACTAGACCGCGTATTTTTGTGCAAAATAAAAATTAGCTGCTCCGATTGCAAGACGCCGGAGCCAAGTGCAATGTTGTTTCTCTCTTAAATAATTTCAATAAGTTCTAATTGACATGTCAACATTTTTAGTCTCTTTTCATTGCTTTTAGCATTCTATGTTTCACCTATTCATTTTTCCTGTAAATACGTAAAAAATATATATATATTTTTTGCTGTGTAGCAATTATTAACATTGATATAAAGAATAGTTGTAATAACTAGACTGGGGATTTTACGTATTTATAGGTAAAATGAATAGGTGAAACATAGAATGCTGAAAGCAATGAAAAGAGACTAAAAATATTGACATGTCAATAAGAACTAATTGAAATTATTTAAGAGAGAAACAACATTGCATTTGGCTCCGGCGTCTTGCAATCGGAACAGCCAATTTGTACGTATATATATTAGGTCTACCGGAAAGTTCTGTCTGATAATGTCATTGCAAATTTCGATAGGCATGCACATATTCATTTGAGACATATATTTTTGAAAAATGTTGCTCACAAATTGCCATCACGCTGACAAGAGGTCACAAGTAACGACGGAAATGATATTGTACAATAAATATTACAAAATTTATGAAAAATCTATTATTTCCTTTCATTTCTCAAACGGACAAAACTTTCCGCTAGACCTAATATAAAAACAAGCTTAGAGATAAAAATCCGTTCTGCCCATGAAATATCCGATTCAGTTGAAAACAAAATCAAATTGTAACTAAATACTCTGCTGCACCAAAAAACACAAACAAACTGCGATATCCGCAGAGAATCTGCGCTCTGCGACTATTGATTCTCAACGTGTCGAAATGACTCGTTCACCGTGTAAATAAAATTTAAACATTACCGCTGACGAGCGAACCGGATTCTCGCGTGCCGAACGTAATTTAACCCTCCGTAAAATGAATAACAATATCTACCGGTCACGCCG